GAATCGATAATTATTTGTAAATCAGTTTTGTCCGATTGTTTTGTTGATTCTTCAGACATAATTGATGATACTGATGGTTTTTGTGATCGACAAGGTACAGGTGGTGGTATAACTTTTTTTATTTGATTTTTTTCATTGGTATTAAAACCTAAATGAATTGTATCTGAATTGGAATCGATTGCAAATGATTTAATATTATCATTGAATTGTACTTGTGGAATTGATGGCGGTAGTGGTGGAGGTTCTAGAGGTGGTTGAATATGTCGTAATGTACTAGTATGTGACCATGGTAATGTTCGATTTTTTATTTGTGGTGAATCAGTAAAACAAGCATTTTTAATACCATGATATATAGATTCATTGTGAATATTTGTTGTGGGTGGTAGATTTCGTCGTGATCGAATGGGCATTGTATTTGAACCAGTTTTCGTTAATTCATCTATATTTGTTGATGATGATGTCGATGAAAGAGCTGGTGAAACAGGTAGAACATATATATCATGAACTTTTTTTTGAAAATCATTCGAAACTTGAGAAAATGTGATTTTATTATTTGATGCGAAATTATGATTATTAATGTCAGTTTTAGTACGATGGCTATGTTTAGAAGTAAGATGTGAACGAGTATGCGGACGAATTATTGGTATAATCGATATATCTGATTGATAACCATGTGATTGTTCAGGAGATGATGACGATAAAATTTCATTATCGTCTGATAAATTATGTGAAATTGAATCAGGTATTTGACGTTTATGACGTTGAATTGTAGTAACAGCACTTGATGAAATACATGGTGATCTTGGAGGCATTAAAGTCAATTTTTCTGTTTCTAAATTCAATTTAAAAAAAAATGTCAAACTTTTTAAAAGATTTATTCAACGATTAATCACAGATGTAACTCAATCATAGACATAGAAATATTATTTAAAAGATTTCGATTCGAAAGAATACAAAAAAGTCAAGGTAAGATATCTATGTCGTCTTTTTGCTAAGTCAAAGATGAAATTGTCGAGATGTAATACAAAAAATACGTATAACAAACTTACCATTTTGTGTTGAACATAAAGTATAAACACAATAACGTATTGTCGCAATGAGTGCTGATAAGAAAAGTAGCGTGATTACAATAACACCAACCCAAAATGGAATATTATAATGTAGATTATTATTAACAAATAAATCTGATGCTTAAAAATAGAAAAAAAACATCAATAATTTTTTTGTCATATTTATATCTTACCATCATCATTTTCATCTAAAGAATTTTCATTAGAATTTTGAGATAATGATGCAGTATAATTTTTCCAAACTAAATTTAAATACTGTTCCATTGATTAATAAATTGATCATTAATCAATCTAAAATGAATTTAAATAGGTAACAATACCTGTTTTGTTAATATAGACATATACTGTCGTGTCTAGACGATATATGCTGATAGCAATCTATACCTTACATTGGCATGTGAAGAAATAAATGTATAAGAGACAGAGAGAAAGAATTTGAATAATATGTATAAGAAAGGATACACGATTACTCGACTCTCTATATATATATATATCGAATAGTATAATCGACCTGCTTCTATTCTATAATGATTATGATGTAATTATCTGACCAATATTGAATAATAAGATATGAATGAAAGGACGACATTGAACAAAACTATGTATATACATGTTTGTTCTGTCATTGAATGAAGGGAGTTACACAAATAGTAAGAAAGAAGAAGTGTAAATGAGTAGAAATTGGCTGCTTATTGATATATCAAGAAAAAAAAAGAATCATCAGTCGATTCTTCGATTGACCTGTTTGTATTCTTATCAATATCTCGAAGGACGCATAACGATAACTACCAAGGAAAAGAAAAGAACATATATCTTTGCAAGAAATATAAGCAAATAAATCATAATTATATTTTATAGGATAAGTTCTACTACGTGTTAATGTTTATATAGTTGAATAAGAAGAAAAAAAATCAACGACATTACTTTCATTTGAAAACGACTCCTATAAATATAGTTTCTTGTTTGTAAAGAAAAGAAATTGGATCTATAATAAAGTGCATCCATCCATATGTAGTGAAGAGCACACGTATACATATAATTCATAGTTTTGCTTATGTAATACAATCAATGAAAGCATACATAAGTGTAAAGAAAGAGAGAGAAAAAAAATGAAAGGAAAATAAAGTATGAATAAACTCAAAAAAGATAATGAATATTGTGACAACTAGTTTGTTCAATGGCAGAAATATCATATATCATTTTACTTGGATATATATAATGGCCTTCTTCTTTTCATATGTAGCCTATGAAAAGAAGATATTTAAAGAAAAGAAGGACGATGATTACGAAACAAGTAGTATCTTGTTCTTCTATTATATTATCGATCAATATGATCCTTGTACTTCACTAACTTTCATACATTCATCATACTTCTAGGATATATAGATATATAAGATAAACTTCTTTTCTCTTTCGATGTGCTCATCTCATTGAATATACAAGCACTACAATAAAAAAGAAAAACTTGCTCTTATAAGTCTGTCTGTATACAAAACATATAACTTAAAGTAATGAATATGAGAAGTCATTATACGTTATATTCATTTGAAAAAAAATAGAAGCTTGACGTCACCGTCTGTATATAAATGAGTACTGCTTTGTATCAATCAAGTGCTTCGTCAAATGTCGGTCGTCTTTTTTTCTCATATCTATAACATACATAAGAAAGAAATGAATGCAATGATGTTGACCTCGTTTCGTCTTTCTTTTTTTTCTTCTTCTTGTCTCTTCTGTTCAATATATATATACACAATTATGGTCATCATAGTTTTCGTGACAAATGAACTGCATCTTTTATACTCTCTCTCTCTCTTTCTGTCTCGTGTCTTAAATATACAAAATTTAAACGCAAAAAAGTAATTAATCGATATTGTCGTCTTATCTGTTGTATTCATATGAAGTATATACAAAACTACTAAAATAGTTTATAATATTTTATGTATTATTAGGAAAATGCTTTATGCCATTCATTAAATGCACCACAACAAAAACAATTAAGACAAAATTTAATACAACAAGTTAAAAATGCATAGATATAAGTAAAAATTAAAATATAATATGCAAACCAATAAAGTGTTGGATGACAATAATTATTTATATCATTTGGTTTATCTGTTCGAACACGAACACGTGCATTAAATATCCAAATATTACCAAATAAAAACCAAATAAAAAGAAATATACCTATAACACCTTGTAAACCACGAGCTAAACTAATTGTACATATCATTAAACAATGATATGGTTTTTTTGTATTAGCTGTAGATCGACAGAGTGTACATGCCGATGAAAGAAGTAATAAAATAACAAGAGCTAAACCACATGCACCAGCGACGATCATATATAATGGAATGTTTCTATTTACAGGACATTCTTTGATATAGAGAATACCTAAGACGAGTTTAGCTATAGGTAAACTAAGAAGAAAAATTAAGTAAATCAGTACTGATATAGTGCTGAAACCACCGGTAAAAAGAGTTGTAAATAAACCTGGAGGTCTTTCACGTCTAGATTTTTGTTGTTTTTTTGAACGAGTAACAGGAATTGGTGCATATCGTTGAATTTGATATTGAATAGGATATGATGGTATTACTGGAGGAAGAACTGGAAGTGATGATACATTTTGATAGATTGGTCGTTCACCATGACGTGTTATTAAAGATGGATTTGATGATCTAGATGATTGTCGTGCATGTGTAAATCTTGTACAAGGTGTCGATAATAAATTATTCGTAGGTAAATATATAGTTGGACGTGGTATAGCAAATAATGAACGTGAAATATTATATGATTCTCGTTGTATTGAATCTTGACGATTAAAACCAGTTGAATTAATTTCATCAAGTTCATCTACAGATAATTGACGTAGACCAGCTGATGGATTAATATTAGGTAGATAAGAATTATCGGATGAAAATGATGTATTACTACTTGTTATAGATGATAATGGTTCACGAAGATAAAAATACATTGTTGTTCAATCATAGATTTAATACTGTTCTATTTTGGAATTTGATAAAAGGAAGTGTTCATTCATTCGTTTTTCTTTTTCTTCTTCTTCATTCAAAAGGAATATTGCGTAGTAGTATTTATCTCCATATACAAGAGCAAACAATGTAAACGGTGATGAACGAACGTAGAATGATGACATATAATTGAAGAAGATTTATTATTGACTAGAAAAATGTAGATGATGTCATCACATCTGCAAACATTATTCGCCTACTTATTTCATTTCAAAATATAAATATATATATATAATTACTTTTTAAATACAATTCAAAAATAAAAAAAAGAATTACTGACAAAGACTTTCGTATAATTGTCATTGCTCTTTCATGACTAGAATTTTAATTAAAAGATTCTTATAGATTAATAAAATCAATACGATTGTTTAGAAAGGAATTATATGGATAAAATTATTCATTCTTCTGTTTTTTTATAGTTATGTTGAAAATTCAATTATATGGTGTTTATAATTATATACTTTATTCATGATAAATCTTTTTATATTGAAAACTAATAGACCATATGGTTTTATTAAGATTTGTACCTATTTTGTTCTTTCGAAAGATCGAAAACGTTTGCATAAAGTCTTTTATTTTTCATGCAGGTCAAATTACATAAACTAAACCATTTAAAGTATTGAAATTGAGAGACTTCGAAAAAGTCACAATAGTAACGAAAGAAACAGTCGTGGGAGAGAGTAAATTTAATTATGCATACGTCAATCGACGGTCAAAATGACGACATTTTTACTTTTTTTTTATTGAGAAAGACCTTCAGCGTAAATTGTCAGCACAGTCTACTACGGAACGATACCACAGCAACAACAACAATTAATAAGTAGAAACAAAACACTGACACCTATATAGGTATTCTACTTCACAGTAATTCATTCTTAGTAGTTCATCGTTTACTAGTTTATACATGTCTGGAACATTAGTTGAAGAGCGCAAAACAATTAGTTTTGTCCCAGATATTGTAACTGGAATTCTTGGTTCCGTTTATTGTCTTGTTGTCTTATTTATTTTACTTATTATTCCAATACTTCAAGTAGCATTTGGTGCAGCATATCGTAATCAATGTCCAATTAATTCGAATATTCCAGTATACCTTATCGTATCTGGTGCATGTGGTATTGCAACTATAGTTCTTACCATAGTTATAGTAATAAATAATTTTTTTTCCAGAATATATGTTTAACTTAATTTATTCAGGCTATTGCATTTATATGTTTATTTAAAAAAGACTCCAAAGGCACATCGTTTATTACTGGATGTATCATTGGTATTGTATTTTTAATTTTATTTTTAATGAGTCTTTTCTTATCTCCATGGTTTATTGTGGTAAGTAGAAGTTATATGATTTGTTGAAATAAAGATCACATTCAATCTGAACATAGGGTAACGTATGGATATTTGGAGTATATTCAACAGTTGATTTGGATAATACATCATCAAGTAATTATTGTCATCGAACATTATATCAGTTTGCTTTCTGGATATTGATTGTAAGTTATATTATGATGGTTATTAGTTGCTGTTGCTCATGCATTTGTAGTTGTTTTGGAGCAAAAAAACTATTAAAAAAATGATGAAAATAACTTAATTATACAAACGAAAAAGATATTTATAAACATATTTTTTCTATGAATAAAAATGAAGTTTCTCTATATTCAAGATTTACTATTAATAATCAAATCAAATACTAGGAACAAAATAGATTATTAGAATGCGAAGGATTTTAGTTGAAATTTAAAGGTTTATGTGGGTGGATGTATTAGACTCAATTACAACAGCTACATCAATCATCCTCATACTCAAATACATACCCACTCACACCTATACACCTACACCCACACTCTCAAAAAATATAAGATTAGTTTTTCTGTTGAATGAGTAACAGCTAGTTTTGCTTGTTGTTATTATTTAAACCATGTCAAAATGTCAAAAAGTCACGGATCAAATCGTTAGATTTCTTTCTGGATGAGTATTCAATATGAATATTCAAAATTATTTACATAGCTTCGAGGTAGTGTAAAAGTCAGGCGTATATGTGAAGAGCTACATAGATGCTTCAGTTTGCATCTCAAAAAAGAGAATTCAAGATGATCCGTTTTATAGCATAGTTTTAATGACAATCATAAGACAGTACATGTGAAATGTTTGCATATTTTGAGCAACATCTTACGGTTAAAGATTACTTAAATAGCTCATCTTTAAATATTGATATTTAATATATGTGATCTAAATAGAAAACTTATAACTATAAATTCATGAAAATGTGACTGAATGAATTTACTACCTTCCTTAAGTTTGTATATGGTGTATATAATATTCTCTTATAGATATCATTTATATTCCTTTTGACTGAAATTTAAAATTCAAGGTTTTAAAAACTATTATAAATTTTTTCACATATTATAAAATAACTTATTAGTTCCCGATTGTAATCTTTTGAAATTTCACATATAATCGATTTAGTCTATGGTCATCAGTATGTCACTAAAAATTTTCTTAATGTTTCACATTGTATTAAGAATATTGAAATCACATGTTCTCTGTGATGTTTCTTTTCTGTTTGCATTATTTTAACGTAGGATTACTTGCACTGCTTTTTTTGTATTCAAAAACTATTCAAAAACTATTCAAAAACAGTAACTGTATGAATAAATTGTTAAGATGTAAAATTATTCATTCGCCTTTTCTTTTTCATCAATGTTTTCTAAAAGTACACTCCTTTTAAACAATAAGAAAAAAAGAAAATGTCATAGTTTATCGCGTACAGACTTCGATGTTTTTATATTGCAAACGAATGAGACACTAGGCTTTATCCAGGTGTACTTCTATTTTCTTTTTTTGGAACACTGAAAGTAAATACATGAAATACAACGTTTTTCGTATGAATCAGCCAATAAAATATGCCATTTGATATATTGAAAGTGATAGGCATTGAAAAAACAACCACATTACGAAAGAAAAAATAAGCAGGATGAATGAAATATTTTTCTACATATGCCAATCGACAATCAGAATGGCGAAATTTTCTTCAATTTCTTACGAATATAAATATGTACGATAAATCATCTATGTATTATAATTCAAATTCACACCATCACAACAACATATAAGAACAGAACACTCGTGACTCTATATATATATTCAACTTAACAGTGATTATATGTGTATGATTCATTCCATACTAACATGAACAACGAAAGCGGACCTTCAACAACGAGTGACGATGAGTTAAAACTTAAATTTATTCCAGGACCTTTAGCTGCAATTCTTGGTTCTGTTTATTGCCTTGTTATTTTATGCATCTTACTTGTTATTCCCATACTTCAATTAGCAATTGGTGCATCATTTCAAAATCAATGTCCAGTTAGTCCAAATATTCCCACATATCTCATTGTATCAGGTGCATGTGGTATTGCAACTATAGTCCTTACCATAATTATAGTAATAAATAATTATTTGAATTTTTCTAAAAAAATGAATTTAATTTAATTTAATTTATTTAGACACTTGCATTTATACTGTGTATTAAACGAGGTACTGCTGGAGCATCTATTGTTAGTGGATGTATTATTGGTTTGGTATGTTTAATTTTATTTTTAATGAGTTTTTTCTTATTTGCTTGGTTCATTGTGGTAAGTAGAAGTTGCATAATTGATTAATATAAAAATCATATATAAATTTAAAATAGGGTAATGTATGGGTATTTAGCGTACATAGTAAAGTTGATTTGGATAATCCATTCTCACCTAATTATTGTCAACGAACATTGTATCAATTTGCTTTCACAATAATAATTATGACTTACGTTATGAGTGTCATAAGTTGCTGTTGCTCATGCTTTCGTAGTTGCTGTGAAGTTGGAAAAGCACTAAAAACATGATCAAAATCGTATTATTACGAGAAGACAAAGACATTTATAAACATATGTTTTTCATGAATAAAATAAACTTTCTCTATACTCAAGATTTATTATTAATAATCAAATCAGATATTGGGAACAAAATAGATTACTAGAATGCGAAGCATTTTAATTGAGGTCTGTGGTAATTCAATATTTATTTTTTTTTCTGTTTTTCGGGATGCATATGTAAAAAACTATTAATTCGCTTCACGAAGATTTTACGAATGAAATATTAGAAAATAGTAATTGAAATTTAAAGGTTTGTGTAGGAGGACATGAGTGGATGTATTAAACTCAATAACCACAGTTACACCACTCGTCCTCATACTCAAATCCATAACCACCCACACACACCTTCATTCCCATCTACTCATCCTTCAAAAAATATGTCTCGCATTAATGTAATGAAAAATATATATGAAGAGCTATATAGATACTTCTTTTTGCATCTCAAAAAAGAGAATTCAAGATGATCCGTTTTATAGCATAGTTTTAATGACAATCATAAGACAGTACATGTGAAATGTTTGCATATTTTGAGCAACATCTTACGGTTAAAGATTACTTAAATAGCTCATCTTTAAATATTGATATTTAATATATGTGATCTAAATAGAAAACTTATAACTATGAATTCATGAAAATGTGACTGAATGAATTTACTTTCTTGCTTAAGTTTGTATATGGTGTATATAATATTTTCTTATAGATGTCATTTATATTCTTTTTGATTGAAATTTGAAATTGAAGGTTTTAAAAACTATTATAAATTTTTTCACATATTATAAAATAACTTATTAGTCCCCGATTGCAATTTTTTTAAATTTCACATATAATCGATTTAGTCTATGATCATCAATATGTCACTAAAAATTTTCTTGATGTTTCACATTATATTAGGAATATTGAAATCACATGTTCTCTGTAATGTTTCTTTTCTGTTTGCATTATTTTAACGTAGGATTATTTGCACTGCTTTTTTTATATTCGAAAGCAGTAACTGTATGAATAAATTCTTAAGATATAAAATTATTCATTCGCCGTTTCGTTTTCATCAATGCATTTTATAGCTATACCGCTTTTAAACAATGAGAAAAAAAGAAAATGTCACATTTTATCGCATGTATAATCCGATGTTTTCATATTGCAAACGAATAGAACACTAAGCTTTGTTAAGGTATATCTTTATTTTCATTTTTTTTGGAACATTGAAAGTAATTACATGAAATACAACGTTTTTCGTATGAATCAACCAATAAAATATGTAATTTGGTATATTGAAAGTGATAGGCATTGAAAAAACAACCATACTACGAAAGAAAATAAGCAGAATGAATGAAATATTTTTCTACATATGTCAATCGACAATCAGAATGACAAAATTTTCTTCTATCTCTTAACAATATAAATATATACAATAAATCATCTATGTATTATTATTCAAATTCACACCATCACAACAACATATAAGAACAGAACACTTGTGACTATATATATTTAAGTTACGATTGATTATATGTGTATAATTCATTCCATACTAACATGGACAACGAAAGCGAATCTACAACAACGAGTGAGGATGAGGCACGACTTGAAAGTAGTCCTTCAGATGGTATTATTACTTCTGTTGTTATTTTTGTTCTTTTATGCGTTTTACTTGTTATCCCCATACTTCAACTAGCAATTGGTACATCATTTCAAAATCAATGTCCAGTTAGTCCAAATATTTCCACATATCTCATTGTATCAGGTGCGTGTGGTATTGCAACTATAGTTCTTATCATAATTATGGTAATAAATTATTATTTGAATTTTTCTAAAAAATAAATTTTATTTAATTTCTCCAGACACTTGCATATATATTGTGGATTAAACAACTTGCTCTTGACTCAGGTATTTGTGATGCATGTGCTGTATCTATTATTAGTGGATGTATTATTGGTTCGATATGTTTAGTTTTACTTCTAATGAGTTTTTTCTTATTTTTTTGGTTTATTGTGATAAGTAGAAATTGCATAATTGATTAATATAAAAATCATTTATAAATTTAAAATAGGGTAATGTATGGGTATTCAGGGTGCATAGTAAAGTTGATTTGGATAATCCATTATCAAGTAATTATTGTCAACGAACATTGTATCAATTTGCTTTTACAATAATAATTATGACTTACGTTATAAGTGTTATAGGTTGTTGTTGTTCGTACTTTCGTTGTTGCAACGTTGGAAAAGCACAATTAAAATCTGATAAAGAGCGTATGATTATGTTAAGACAAATGAAAAGACAAAGACATTTATAAACATATGTTTTTCATGAATAAAATAAAATTTTTCTATATTCAACATTTATTATTATTTATTCATATGGAATATTGACTATTATTTAGAAATTTAATGAAATGACTAATCCTAGTAAAATTAGTCATTACCTTTACGTTAAAGATTTTATCTTGTTTATTATTTATATAACGATTATCAGATAAAATATTTGACGATATAATTAATTGATAATATCTCACTTCTTACCTGACATATTAAAAATATTGTTTCAAAAAGAAATATCAGAAATAGCAAAGTTTTTTATGTAGCATCTTAATCAATATATTACTAATCGATGATTTATTCTACCGTATCCTTCTTTTTTTTATTAGGTATTAATATATTTTTAGTCATGTTTTAACAAAGATACAGAATAGTAATATCCATATTTTACATAAGCAAATAGGAGAAGATTAAAGCAATGGGATATGTTCTGGTTGAAAGCATATCATGGATAGGTAATCAAAGAAAAAATATCGCGAAAATAATCATAATAATAATAGTCGCGTACTTAGTTTTTATAATTCAACAGAAATGAGTTCAAAAATGTGGACTAATAAAACCAGCGAAACTGTTCCATTGACACCTGCCAACGAACCATCATCGCATTCACGAGTTGCATCTCTAGGTCGTAAGTTTGGCACAACTTATTTTATTATGTATGTACAGTTTTTATAAACTAAAAACTAATAATTATGATTTTTGTAGTTCGGTAATAATTCTTTCCTGTATTCCAATCATTGAGTTAGTAATTGGTTTGTATTATAAAGGAGAGTGTCCAATTAATCAACTTATTGCAACATATATGATCGGTATTGGTATATGTGGTCTAATATTAGTTGCTTTATCTCTCTTTTTGTCTATGTAAATTAAAATATAATATTTTTTGTATTATTTAAAAATAATTTTCTTTTCATACTAGTACATATGTATGTTTTATACCTGATTCAGCATCATTAACTTTAATGGCTAGTTGTGGTGTATGTTTAAATGTCATAGCAACAATTATTATTTCAATAATTGTATTTATATGGTTTATTTTGGGTTGTATATGGGTATTTAGTAATGCTTCAAGAGTACAATTTCATGATCCATTGAAAAATACTTATTGTGATCCTTTTCTATATAAATCAACATTTATATTACTTATTATTACAATTATTTGGGCTCTCATTCAAGGTTGTATATCATGTTGTCGTGCATGTTGGACAAGTGAAAGTGATTAGCATAAAGAATGTCTTTTTCTATTTATTTTTAAGACATAATTTGTAATAATTATGAATAAAGACCTAATAAAATTTATTCAAGATTATTGTTATTTACTTAACGACATGCAAGGCAATAATTTTACTCCATAAATAATATACCTAGAACTTGCATAAAAAACGGATTTATTTTATTTATAGATATCAAATGATGAAAGTAGTAGACGACATACTATTTTAAATGTAAAGGAAAATATGTAATGTCTTGTCTTAACAGTATTAAATAGTTTATTTTAAAAAAAACTCTTTTTCGAAGTTATATATATTTAAACAAATAATTTTAATTTCTTAATCATTTCTCCGGTGTTAGTTGTCTCCAACGACGGTGGAAATCATCAATATGTTGTACAGTTACTCCTATGTTAAAAAGAAATGAATTTTTATTTTTCAAAAAAATCGATTTACCATCTTTTTCAACTATTTGTTGTTCTTTATTTGTTAATGATCTTGCAAGAAGTAAATTAACTGTTGATATTGAAGTATTTGTTGTTTGTTTATCAAGATTACTTTGTTGTGAAAAATATAGACAACAATCAATTATTTCTTGAAAACGAAAAAAATCTTTATTTTTATTAGTTTTTTTTTGCTTATTTTGATTTGTTGTTATTCGTTCATGTACAGCTTGTGTACGAATAAATCTAAATATAATATT